TCTTCTCAAATAATTTGTCATGTTATTAAGCTTGGAATTTAAGAGAGTTACCTCCCTTTGAAAATGATAAATAGTACATAGAAGCTTCTTCTTTTCATTCTCCAACTCAGATATGATCTTTCTCTGATCTTCCTCTATCTTAAGACTTTCCTCACATCTGTCACAAGTATCATTGTAGGACATATTCAAATCTTCATATAACATATTTTCTTCACAAGCTTCTACTTCATATGCCCATATTCTAGAGAGAGACATCACCAGATCTTCATATCTGCCCATCTTCATATCAGATTTGTCATTAATGGTCAATTCAAAAGTTTGAAGTGACTCAACAAGTTCATCAACCCTCATATTGTTGGTGTCATGAGCTTCTTCAATGGTTGTCACCTTCATATAAATAATAAGGGTAAATAATTAATAAAATTATTTAAAATAAGGATAATAAGGTATAATTAATAGGTCGGATTTGAGCAGAAGTGGGTGTGGGGTGGGTATTAGTATCCCCACCCTTCTCCAAGAACGCCTTAAGCTCTTGGAAGGCCTCCTCATAATCTTCAGTCCATTGGAAAATTTTTCTTTTTTAAGTTTTGAGAAGAAGTGAATTGACTTGTCCCCATAGAAGGACAAAAACCTTGACAGGGCAGCAATCCTGCTTGTCAGCTGCTGAATCTCTTTGAGGGTGGAGGTGCTTCACATGTCGATGATGGATTGGAACTTATCTAGGTTAACTTCAATGCCTCTATGTGTCAATATAAAACCCAACAAATTTGTAGCCTAAACCCCAAAATAACATTTATTAGGGTTTAGGCACATGTTTTACTTTGTGACTAAGGATAACATCTCTTCTAGGCCGTCCTTGTGTTGTCCTCCCTCCACAGTTTTCACCACCATGCCGTCTACTTAAACATCTATGTTTCTTCCGATTTGATTTGAGAATACCGCATACATGAGTCGTTGGTAAGTGGAGCCTACATTTTTGAGTTTGAATGGCATGACATCATAGTAAAAGTTTTTCATGTTCGTCATGAAGGCAGTTCATGGTGTGTCGGTCGGGTTCATTCTGATTTGGTTGTACTCGAAGTATGCGTACATGAAGCTTAACACTTTGAACCCTGAGGATCTGTCGATCAGCCTATCGATGTTGGGTAGCAGGTATGGATCCTTAGGGAACGCCTAATTTAGGTCAGTGAAGTCTACACACATCCTCTATTACACTGAGTTTTTCTTCAACATGACCATATTCGCCAACCAAGTAGAATATTTGATCTCTATGGTGAATTATGCATCTTGGAAATTTCCGACCTCCTTTTATATAGCTTTTCTTTTTTCTTCCCATTCTTTCCTCTTTTGCTGGATGACACGTTTTACTTCGGGACATATGGCTAGCTAATGACATACCATAATAGTGACGATATCGGGCATATCAGCTGGGACCCAAGAAAAAATGTCAATATTTTTCCACAGTAGCTCCACAATTTCATATTCTTCTTTTTTCGTGAGAGCTCCCCACATTTGTGTCGTGTGGTGACATTCCAGACCAATTTGTACCTTCTTTAAGTCTTTAACTAGCATTAGATTGTTCTCGGGGGATTCGTTCTGAGGGTCGAGGTCTACAAACTAAACATTATTTGGTTTGTGGGTGAGACCCTCTTTTTGGTGCTTGTGCAACATCAAGTTGTCTCAGTAACACTGTTTGGCATGCTCTTGCTTACCTCTTACGACTCCAATCTTTCCATCCTCAAGAGGTAACTTCATTGTGAGATGTAGAGTGTATAAGGTCACTTCCAAGGTGTTGAATGTTGGTCGTCCAATTATGATATTGTAAGGAGAATGGGCATTAATGAATATTGTACCCAAAGTCATGTAACCTAGTACCTGAACTTACTCTCCTAAGAATTCTACCAGCGATCCTTTGAATGGATGGAAAAGGTCCATATCGAGTCTCGAAACTTGGAAAGCTTCCTAGTACATGTCATCTTCCGAACTTCCTGGGTCGATGAGAACTCACTTCACATCCTATTTATCGATTTAGACACCGATTAACATAGCGTCATCCTCGTGGGGAGCAATATCTTCTACATCTCGCTTCAAAAATTCGATCTGAACATCAGAAGGGTGATGTCCCAGACATGATGCCCATGAAATATGCATCACTTTCCTTACATAGTTCTTTCGTAAATGATTTGATTCCCCTCTTCCCAAAAAGACACCAATGATAGTGTTTAAAGTTTGACGTGGCATGTTGTGTTCTTGCTCCGCCCTCTGGGGTTTCTTTGGAGATGTCATACGGTCCTCAATACGGTCAGGTGGATATCAAATTTCCCCTACACGTATTTCTGGAGGCGTCTTCTCTGTACCATTTTTTTAATCTCTTGCTTGAGATGGTAGCAATCCTCGGTGTGATGACCTTGGACTTTGTGATACTTGCAATATTTGTTCGAGCTAATCCCCATGACGCCACCTCTAGGGGGCTCGGCCTCTGGGATCACCCAGGTCGTGTATGTCTAATGAAAAATTCTTTCTCTGCTAGCGTTGAGTGGTGTTAAATTCTCCAACGGTCTTCTGTTGAATATTCCCATCAGGGGAGGCTTGGTCCTTACAAATGGATGCTCCTTGTGTCTCTTGGATCCCGGCCCCTCAGATTGGGGAGTCGAACCCTTCTCCTTGGCACATCTCATTTTCTTCTCTACGTTTCTCTCTTACCCTCACATATAACACTTTTCTCTAGTGGTAATATCTTCCATCGATGTAGCCAATTTTTGGGCCAGGGATTCATTGAATTACCTGACTCTTAGACTGTTCTAAAAGCCCCCTAAAAACATCTCCTGATTGTGGTGCACCACCTTGATAGTTTCCTCATCAAAGTGTGCCACATACTCTTTCATAGTTTCATCATGTCATTGGCGTACGTTGAAGAGGCTAGTGGTTAAAACCTTTCGTTGTTTAATGGCCGATAACTAGTGTATCAATTTCTTAGGCAAGTCTTGGTAACTTGTCACTGAATGCTTTGGTAACCCCATGTACCAACATAGTGCGGCCTTCTTCATGGTTCCATCCATCAACTTACATTTTAATGACGCACTAACTCCTATGATTTCCATCTGGGTGTTGACCGTGAGAATGTGCTCCTAGGGATCGTGCCTTTCGTTAAACGAGGAAAGCTGGGGGGGGGGGGGAGGTTGAAGTTCTCTAGGTCCTCGTCGTTCCAGATCTCCCAGATAATGGTTGAGATCGATCGGAACACCCAGATCTTCACCGTCCTACTGAGGTTAGAGATGTTGTTATTATAGATCATTCACTGTGTTTTACAAATATTCATTCAACTGGCATAAGAGCTCAACAACGGTGGCCAATTGTTCCATGGCTTGGGTTTCCTCACTCTTGTTGTTTGCCTTACTTCTGGTCCATCTATTTGTAATTTTGTGTGGTCTGGGAGAGTTTTACAAGACACCACGGTGGACGCTAGCTATTTCTGAAGAACAATGTGATGATCTCCTCGATGCTAGTTTAGAGAAGCCATAATATGTTTAGTGTATTGTGTATTTGGGATTGTTTGGCTTCATTGTATGATGATCGTTACCTTTATGGAATTGGTCGTGCTCTGGCATTATTCCATCTTCATGGTTCCTTATTATTCCTGCCCCCTTTTAGCTTGGGAGTCATAATGAGTGTTAATTATATTAAAATAGATGTTTGTCTACTCTTATGGGTGGGCTCTGACTAAGTCGGGACCTCTCCATTTGGTCGTTTCCTCGTGTGGGCGAGACATCTATTTGGGCGAGGTGTTCTCTATGTAATCTGGGACGTAGGCCTCGGATGTACAAGATGTATTTAAGCGTGGCAAAAAAATTGATTTTGTCGCTCCCACCTGAAATGTAACGAAAAAAAATCAACTTAACTAGATATGGGTGCATCGAAAAAAAAATCCAGTTTTTATTAATGGAGAAGGATGGGGATGATAACACCCATCCCACACCCACTTCTGCTCCACTACGACCTATTAAATATACCTTATTATACTTATTTTTTAAAAAATTATTACCTTTTTACCCTTATTAATCTTAAGTTAAAAAGTTTATCAGAATAATTTAAAAAAATATAAATTAAATGAATAGAACTAGTATTATTATTACTTAAGTGATTAAACATTTAATTTAATTATTAATGTTTTTGTTGTTAGGGAAAACATGCATTTTATTTAAAAAAATTATAATTTTAACATATGAGTACAAGTGGGACAAAGAAACTCATTCCCAATTGAAGGCAGAGGTGGATGTTCATTTGTTCCTCCGACTATGCTTAAAAGTGAAAATTAAATTGATATATGGAGACGGAGGTATTGGATGTATAAAGTAATTTAAATACGTGTAGAAGCTTCTGATAGCACTGTGTTGGAAACAGCTTATAAAATAAGCACTTCTGGAATCATAAATTTGAAAGTATCGAAGAGGAAATCGATAATCTGAAATGTGAAAATCAATTTCTACAACTTTTTTGGTTTTTCTTTTTTCTGTTTTAAAGTGGAAATCGATTATATCCTTTGGTGAAATCGATCTTCAACTCGTGTTTTTGGGCAATTTAGCTTTTGTTTTAGTCTGTTTTGTTTCCCAAATTGTTTTAGTTGCTTGTATAAATACCCCTCATGTAATATTATGAAAATCTCTCTCTCTCATCCATCAATTTATCACTCAAACTTTGTGTTAGTTCCAATAGACATAGTCAATAATGCTTTAACCCGATCTTGTACTCTTGTGCATAAAACTTCTATATCCCTCTATCTTATTAGAACCGTTAAAAATGCATCACAATTATCATAAGAGAATTCTTTTGTGAAACTAATTATGCCACCCTAAGCTAGAAAAATGAAAATGCAAAGTGAAAGTCACAAGCAACCCCATTACTTAAGTAATAGGAATATTAAGACATAAAAATAATGTTATTTCTTATAAAAATTGTGGATCAAAACTATAGTAACAGAACTCAACCAAATAATATCATCATCATTCAGAAGTTGATCTACTATATGATTGTTGCTGTGACCTCGAAATCCAAGCCCACCACCTTGAAGCAACTCCCTCCCTTTGTCTCTCTTGTTCTTCCCGGCCGCCACCACCACGACGTTCTCTTCCCCTCCTTCTATCCCTATTCAAAAACCTCATCACCCCTGTCATCTCCGACACAGTACTCCTCAAATCCCATTCACTCCTCCTCCTCCTCCTTCCACCACCACCACCAAAACCATTCTCCATCTCATCATCAGCACCACCGCGATTACGCCTCATCCTTCTTCTCCTTCCGTCACGCGAAGACGAACTGCAACTGATGATCCTATCAGTTGTTAAGTAAAGCATATCATCTGTTTCAAAATTGCTCCACCGTTGTTGAACACCACTATGTGAAGTATAAGAACAAGTAGGGGACAAAACTATACGATGATCTAACCTATGTTCTCCTATAACACTCTCACTCTTTACCTTTCTTGAATGACCACTAAACAAACACCCTTCACTATTCCTCTCTCTCATAAAAGAAACTCGTCGTGAACCTATACTTTCATTTTCATGTCGTGACTCATTGCTATTGCTGATGACATTACTCATAACTCTTCCGCTTTCGACGTCTGACGACAACAATAATTCTTGAGAATGAACTATGTCGTCAGGGTCGACTTTATACCGACAGAGCGGACACGTGGAGTGTTTGTCAAGCCACGTGTCCACACATTCCATATGGAAAGCATGTTTGCATTTTGGCAACAACCTTAGTATCTCATGATCCTCAAACCCTGTGAGACAAACCGCACATTCGAGTCCTTGTTTTTGTCCTCTCAACGAACCAAACTTGAACGCGGGTAACAAATCCACAACCGTCCGTCCAATCCCAGAGTTCTTCCTCTCTTGCAAATCCCTCTCTCCATCTGCATTTGCATTGCTAGCAGCAACGCCGTTGCAGTGTTTAATATAGAGAAGAAGTAGAAAGGTGAGGGAGAATGTGGTTGCTAGAACACCTACGATTGCTCCCGCACTAGGTTTGAATGAAACTGATTTTGTCACTACCTGATTGGGGTCGTCGGCTGATGATACTGGCGGTTGTAATGACATATCGATTGCGCCATTATCGTCTTCGAGACTGGGAATTTTTGTATTTTCTTTTGTATCTTGATATGCGTTTGTGATAAGAATGAGCGTGGTGGTGACGATGATGATGATGGGGAAGAAGGGAAAAAATGGGACGGTGAATGGGTTGATAGAAGGTGCACCATCCATGTCATGTGCGAAGTGATGCTTTGTTTTCTGTTTTTGGAGTTTGACATTGGAACGTTAAAGAGACAAGGTAGGCGTTGTTGTTGTTTTGAACGAAGATGCCGTGTCTATATTGGGAGATATATTCTATGGTAGCAAATAACTACACAGAAATATCAAGTTTATTATAAATAAATATAACAATAATAATCAAGGAATTAACTTTCCACTACATTCTGAATCAAATCACTCTATAGTATTGTTTAGGTCATGAATTAATTAAGTCTATATTGATCATTTGTAGTTAAAGTTTTCTTAATCTATATTAGAGTATCGGTATGATACGTATATTTTAATTTAAAAATAAATTTAAAAAATAAAAAAATCTCAAATAATAGATAGTTTATTATTTAAAATATATATTTAATTTTAAATGTAAAAATAGAAAAAATTGTCATCAATTTATCATAGAAATTAAGAAATATGAAAATATTATTGGAAACTATAAAAATAAAATATGAATTGTTTTAATTAAAATGATAGATTGATTTCAACTTAGCCATTTATATATAAAATTATATTTTGATAAAATAAAAAGGAGTTGTGATGAGTTAATTGCAAATAAGTATTGCAGCACATTAAATAAATAAAATTATATTAAATAGAACATAAATGGTCAAGAGGCAAAAGTTTAATTGGCCATAATATTATCATCAGATAGTAGCTCCGATTGCAGCTCAGACAACAACAAGTAACATTATTTCGTTTGATTAGAATAGTTGTTGCATGTTAGGTTTTTTGTATGTGAAAGATCTGTTATGGAACTGTTGTTTGCAAGTGTAATAAAAGCGTTGATTTAGTCGAAGATTGTATGATCGTTAGGTCATCGTTGTTAATGTAAGTGTCTGTTGCAAAAAATATATTTCAATGGCTACTATCTATACAATAATACCATGGTAAATGTAGTATTTTTTGATGTTATGTAACCATGTAGTACAAAGGACTTGTTTCTTGGAGAATTTTAATAGGTTAGTCCTATTTAAGCTCGTGTTTTAGAGACATTCAGGGATCTCATGCTAAATGTTTATAGCAGTGACTCTGAAAGTGATGACAGTGAAGATGAAGAATACTCGCAGGTGTATGAGTGGGAGAGAAAGATCACCAACACATACAAAGCTCAAAAAAATATTTTGGTATTTAAATAATAGAAAATAGGAGACCTACTACAAATATGTATATCTATAATATTCTGAAAGCTAAAGTCATGGTGATTTATTGCAGCATTTTCCTAATGATGTCACAAATAAAATGCTTTTTAGGAATCAAAAAGCAATCGGGTTAATAGATGAAGACAATGGTGAATCCTTTTATGTAGAAGTCCACTCTACCAAGCGCAATAAGAAGCTATTTAAGAAGGAGAAATTATATGTATTGTGAGCATCCTGTTGTTTACCTCTGGATTTGGTAAACAACGCTGGTCTCTTTAAAACAAGTTTACTCGTGAGATTGACCAGGAAATCTCAGTACAATGCTTCAGTTTACGTGCGTAGTTAAAGTGTTTTCAAAAAGGTTTATTCGATTCAGAGCCAAACATTTTAAATTGTAAAAAAGGTAATGACAAAAAGGACAAAGTAAATAAGACAAAAGTGTATTAAATTGTAAAAGGTAATGACATAACATTAAAGAAAGGTTGATAACAGGTTGGTTCAAACATACATTGCATTTGCCTGACTCATTTCGCTTGTTCGCTTGGTTACTTTGAGTGACTAGCGTACATGAATGTGAAAGTTTGACCTTTTACAAAGTGTACTAAGTGCTTTATTTATAATACACAGAAATAACTACTTTTTAAGTGGGCTTCATTTCCTTTCATGCCACGTGTTCTTCATAACTTCCCTCCATGATCCCACGGTCACCACTCTTGATATCAAACCCATGTTTTCCCTCCATAACCCTCTGCCTTTGCAGTTTAGGAGCTTATGGGTCTTTTAATCCTTTTGGGCTTCTTACCTCTCTTGGGCCCAATCCATTCACCATGAACCCTTCTTTGATCGACTACGCTTACAAAACCTTGGTCGACTACTTGTGAAATCGTCCATGGTCGACATGCTTATGTAGTCGACTTCTCATAATTTAATGCTCTTTAAGGATCTTAAAAGAACCTTTTTGACTTTTGGTTTGGATTTGACTCTTTATGAAAATCCTAGCCAACACCTGCACAAGTCATTAATCTTGTAAACTCTAAGTAGTAATAAATGTTGATAATGTTGTTATGTTTAATATATATTACACTATCAATTTCAATTTTATGTTATATATATTCAAGTTGTGTTTGTCAACTGGATTTTCATGTTTGCAAATAGCAATTATGATGGTATTGTGTATACCACTCTGAGATAAATATATAAGTATATGCAACTTTTTGAGATATACTTAGTCATACTGAATTTGAATAGGTATATGTTGTGTGGTGGTGTAAGATAGGAACATGTTGGTATTATGGTAAGTTATGTATCTTTGAGAGTATAGAAAACGTTTTTCGGGCCGTTACTATTTGAAGTTAAATTTCAAAGTTGGATATAAATTTTCCATATCAGTTGTCCTAAAATACAACACAGATATCTGTCACGGCCAATATGTAATAGCGTTGATGCAGATGTGCGGAAGGTCCCAGTAAACTCGAGAAACGACAGCTGAAATAGATGCAAAACACATAATTGCAGAGTATTTTGTTTTGAATTGCAACAAAATATAAACAATGAAATGACAATAAATATTTTTGTTGGACTGTGTAGTTCTTGAAAATTGACACGTCTTTTTGATAGAGTAAATGATTAATAATAAAATGATTATAATAATTTTTCTGGCCGTTACTATTTGAAGTTAAATATCAAAGTAAAATATAAAGGGAAATTATTATTGTATAGCGGCATGCATTGAATAAGGAATTGAGTAGTCGCATCAATAAAGAATATGTCATTAATGGGCCAAGGACAAATAAATATGTATTAATAATTGAATAAATGATAAATATAAATACATTATCTACTCCAACACCAACATATTGTCTCTTCCACCGCCACTATATTACATTTGTTATAATAAGAAGTGGAGAAAACTAGAATCCTTATTCAATCCACGCAGATTGATCGGTTTGTAATTAGGAAAGTATCTTCATTGGTATGTGTTGCAATTAAGTTTTGAAAAGATAATTGACATTTGTTCTGTTAATATTTTACAACATATAGTATCAATGAATGAATCTTTAATGTTTCAAGTTTTATAGATGTATGCCGAAATAGATCCCGAATTCGTGAGAAAGTACATCGATGAATGAAGCAAAAGTTGGACCATGTTAAACAATCAAGGTGTCCACCAGGAAGTCATATATAACAAATTTAGAGATCATCCTATGTTAATAAGTGAGTGGCCTTTGTTGGAAGTATATTACGATCTACCGTCTGAGGTTGTTTTCGAGGTTGGTTATTATAGCAACAACAACTTTGGAATAAATAGGTTTAAATAATTTTCAAAATGGTGTACCACTTTGCCTCATTTTCATAGCAGAATTGTGTTTGATGACGACATAAATGCGTTTGAACTTATTCTAAGCCCTATTTTTGTTTCTGTTTTGAAATTAGTTGCGTATTGGTGATCTGATTTAATAAGTTTTTTAATTAAATATGTTTGGGGAAACAGATAGCATTAACAATTTAGATGTCTATTGTAGAAGTTGTAGGTACATACTGCAACAATATTGAGAAAATATAGTTATGAAGGTCTTATATTGTGCGGGGACAACGACAAGCTGAAAACGATGAAACTGTTTAACATTGATGATCTGTATAATACTGAATTAAGTCCTGGGTGGGATGATTTCTGCGAATGTGTGGTACAGTGGGAGAACTACTTGGGTGTTTTGCGTTTTATCGCAAATATTGCGGTTAGCAAGAGTCGCCACTGACTTTTCTTTTATCCAAAAGGAAAGGTGAAAAAGCACAGGAAAGACCTTTGAGATTGTTTCTTGAGTTCGGGGGGTAGATTATGAAAAGGGAAGGTATTAGCACCCTTTTCATCCATGGTTTTCCATGGGCTCTTAGTTACTTACTAGATCACTTGCTTTTGTTTGAAATTGTGCTTTGTATGGTTTTGAAAGTATTTTTGAAAAGAGGCCATTGTTTAGGCAAACTTTGTAATGATTATCGTTCGTAAGAATGTATATAGAGTGTTTGATATTTTGAAAATGTTTTCAAGTTTTGAAATATGTTTTGAAAGTGTTGGTGTTTGTTTTGAAAATAGCAAGGATGTTTTTGTTTTGAAATTGAGCAAGCAACTAGGAACATTCTACCTACTCAAAAGTCTTTCATGTTCATTTCCTTTTTTCTTTGACGTTGTTATCTTAACATTGATTTGGTAAGCAACCCTATCTTTGGATGTAAACGGAATGGGCGTGGGTCATCGTATAACCATGATTAGTCATGTTGCAAGACATCTTAGCATCTTTCTCTAGGGACTAAGATCATTTTGAAAGGCAACTTTTGATAGCGTCATCGAGGGACTATGATCTTGTGTTTGTTTGTTTTTACTAAGATACCTCACATGCGTAACATGGCCATTTTGTAAGGCAACCAAGTGGATTTTACCTTTGGGGTGCTTGTGTGCAAGTGTGTTGATTTTCATGCTTTGTTTAGTCTTTGATTAGGGCTTGCTACTTGATTGATTTAAGTCTTTCCATACAAACCCTAATTACTAGCATTTGTATAAAGCGATAAATTGCGGAATTTAAAATTACTACGCTATTACAATACTTGTGGGAGGGTGGTGTACAAATTACAAATGGGGATTGCTAGAAAATAAACCTAATTATCTATTACAACCATATTGAATTTGGATAAATAATGTACAAAAATGAATAAATATAGAAAAATGTAAGATGGAAAGAAAATGGACTTTTGTTTGGATTTTTTAGGAAAAAGGGTTTTGTTTTAACCTAATTAACTAAAAGAAAAATAATTAATTAAATT